GAAAGATGACCTCATAGATAGGGCATTAACCAGAGTCTTTGGTTCAAATGTCTACTCTGCTACAGACTTTCAGTGTGACCTGGGGCAAGTCACTCAGTCTTTGTCTACACTGCAGGGTTTTTGCACAAGAAGCTTTTTGCAGAAGCACATCCACACCTCAAAAGCACATCACAAAAGCTTTAACAGAATGGCCATCAGAGCACCTGTGCTTTTTGTGATAGGCTCTTTTTGCGTAAGAAACCCCCGTAGAGCATCCACACACCCCTTTTTGCGCAAGAACTCTTGTGCAAAAAGGCATTATGCCTCGTAGAAGGAGGTGTACCTACACCGCAAAAAGCCCTCTGTTTGGTCAACTGACTGTAGATTTTCTTGCACAAAAACGCACTTGAGGTGTGGATGCGCCACAGATTTTTGCGTAAAAATCCTGTAGTGTAGACATAGCCTCAATGCCAGATCCTCAGAGGTCTTTCAACAGGAATTAGACTCCTAAAGATCTATACGGATATTGGCCTTAGCCTCGCTGTGTCTCAAGGCGGGTCTACATTTAAAATGGTCAGTAAAACTGCACCAATCGAGGGTGTGTGAGGATTTTTCACATACATCCCCTCGCCTGAGCAAAAGTTATGTGCATGTAAGTTTATAGTGTAGACTTGGCCTCAGTTCCTATCTGTAAAATGGGATAATATTACTTCCCTCCTTCACAGGGCAAGGAAGTTGTGAGAAATAAATGCTTTAAAGATTCAGATGTACTCAGATAGTAGGATAATGGTGATCCTATAAATACATTAGCTACACAAGAGCTTTCATCTTGTTGATTCTGTTCAAAAAGTATACTTTTATATTTTATTGAGTAGCACCCTACATTTCATTTTGTTCCTTACCTGGTGTAATTCAATGTGGCTCTACTGAAATCAACAGCACTGCACCAATTTACACCAACTAAGATATCTGGCCTGTTGGAAACTAATCAGACCACTTAGTGAGAAAAAAAAAGTAGAAAGAGAGAGAAGATAGGATTAAGTGAATTTGTTCTTTTTAAAAGGCAGGGGAATAAATTCAAATAAAGCTCATTAGCAAGGGAATAGATAATAAGCCAGAGTGGCATAAATAAAATAGACTGTCTTTGCACTGGACAAAATCTGGAAACAAATTCTCAAATAATTTCCAGGGAATATTAAATCTGAATTCATCTGGCTGAAATCTCACTAGCGTTCTGCATAGAAGAATTTATATAATATTGCTTCATGTCTGGGGGAAGTTAGTACTAGAACTGCTAGTTACTTCTTGGAAAATGAACCATGCTTACCAAACTTGCCAGCATTTGGGACTGGACAAAATCTGGGGACCAAGTCATCTTTGAATAGAACCTATCCTGGGGTAAAATCTGTAGGAAGGGCTTTAGAGAAAGATGTGCATTCCTCTTGGCTGGCCATGTCTCTTTCCCCAACCACCTGCCCGTGGACATAAGAACGGCTGTATTGGGTCAGACCAAAGTTCCATCTAGCCCAGTAGCCTGTCTACCGACAGTGGCCAGCACCAGGCGCCCCAGAGAGGGTTGACCGAAGACAATGATCAAGCAATTTGTCTCCTGCCA